ACATTTGACTAGCTGGATGGTGGAACACGCAGTACAAAGCGGATATCGTCTTGAGAGCTGTTTCAAGCTCTCACGTGTTGTTGGGAATTATCTGCACATTTTGGATGGTACCATTTGAAACATTATAAGGTAAACCGAATTTGACGAATCGGTTACATTCAGCGGACCCACATTTATCCTTCGACTGGAGCCCTTTTGAATTTTCATCTACTTACTTCCTGCTACGTGGCATAGTGTTGTTACCTTACGCAGTAGGCTAATTGAGGTTGCGTACTTTTCCGACTGGCCAGTTGCGCACCCTAATCAGACGGATGGGTGCGGCCACTTCGTTTCTTGGTCACACACTGCCCTATGGAGTAAAAGGGAATACGATACAACCAACTTGCCCGGACTTGAGACGGACCCACGCTGGTTTCAGTTCACTTACCGGTCCAAACACCGCATGTCAGGTGACCTCCGGTGTGAGTTTTGATCCTATTTACTAGCCGGAGCGCTGTTCGCGACAGGGCGCGGTTGACACGACTGCAGCGTAGATCGATCGCCGTCAAAAGATAAGATTGGTCAGCTGATATGTCTGACCAGTAGCTGATGTCTCACATAAATGTTTTGGCTAGGCACTGTTGATAAGTAATTCTGTCCTTACAGACGAGTATGGTAAGATGGTTACGGTAGGTCAGGAAGTTCCCCAATGTCGGGTTGGCTTTGTAGACATGCTACGCTGCGTCCCTTATTGCCAAATATTCGCAAGTCGCTTCTGAGAGTTGATGGCACTTATGCAGAACGAAATGGCTTGATTTGTGACGCCGTATTTATCGTATCGCTTAGTAATTCAAGGAACTCTGTCAAAGGGACTATACTGTTCGGGTACAGTCACTTGGGATTTCTTTGCGAGTTCTTCCAAGATGCGGTCATTAGTAGTTGTATGAATAATTTCCCTAGATACCTATGGATACTCTGTATGGCAAACATAGATGTTACGATTACATGGTCACTGAGACCTGACGAACTCTTAATACCTGAGTAGACGATCCATTAAAGACGATCTTTTTCGCCTATCTGGAATCTATTTTATGTACAATCAGGTACTAAATGATAGCTCTGATCAAAAGCAAAGTTATCTCCTGTCCTCTACAGCAGCGTACATCATATAAAGGTTACTTACTGTAAAGGTCGCATGTTCAAAAGAAGAAAACCATCCTTTGAGAACACATATCGACTACGAAGTATAATTGCATTTACAGAATTTAGTATCTTTTGATACCGTATTATGACCAGTTAAATAGGTATCTCAACTTTTGCTTTGATGTCTGCTATCCACTGGAAACTATTTTTAACCCTACGGATTGGTTTTCATCTACATACCTAAAGCGCTTGCGTTCACTCAAAGAGAAAGCGTTCGAAAGGAAAGTCCCCACAGTAGTTAAATCTTGTTATATCAAGAGACAGTTGCGCCGTTGGAACCACCTCTAGGTCCAGACCATACTTGGAAATAATGACTGTCGGATGGTCTGACGAATGCCGAAACAACGTAGTGAAGTCCTCACCGAGTATTTAAACCAGAGGTGGACCTTGTCGCTTCAATGCTAACTCCACTTCTTCCTCTCGATTGGATAGACCGACTGTCTCTTTATCTGCCATTAACAAAAATACTGTGCACAATAAACTGCTGCAGCTAGATCCCAAGAAGACAAGTGACGCGGTCGGACTTTTGCTTATTGTCTTCAAGGCGTGTGCTGCTTCTTGGCACAGCCTCTTGCTGACTTGTACACCTTGTGCATGAAAGAACGGAAAATTACTGAATTGGGGAAGTACTATAATTACAACAGTACCAAAAAAAGTCTCAAATAAATACCGGCTAACTGCGTGCGACAGTGAACTTGACGCTTTTCGAGAAGATAATTATTGATAAGCTACTGACCCAAACACATTCTGACGACCCGCTCCAGTTTGCTTATCATGGTTTCAGTTCTGCTAAAGACGCTTTAATCTATCTTGTAAATTCGGGGCGGGCATCTCTAGGCAACAAGAATAAATTCGTGCCAATATGTTGTACTGAACACAATATTGCTTTTCGCAGTGTAAACTGTAAGCTTCCTTTGAGAGACCTGCATGATGTCGGAATTCAACCATCTACTGTCTACCTGCTGAGGGACTTTCGTTGGACGTGCCCAGTACACTCGACTTGGGGATAAAAGTTCTTTGCTGCTCACTACAGCCACCGAAGTTCTTCATGGAGCCATACTGTCTCTATAGCTTTCCTCCACTTACGTCACATCGTTACCTGCCTCTGATGAAGAGCTATTGCTGAAATATGCAGACGACGTAGTCCTAGGTATCCAACATCGGACCGCAGCCTCATCAAGCATATTAAAACCTTTCTGAACAATATTGCATTATGGTCCAGAACTCGCGTTTTATCGTGGAATGCATTACAATGTAATGGCGCTTTTTTATGCGCAAAAGCCGTCGTTATCAGCAACTTTTCACGGAATGCCACGAATTTCATATAGACGGTGCGGGATTGAATTCCCCTTTGTCAGTATCTAGATGTCCCACTTGGGTTTGATTTCTCTTGTTCACTCCATGTGAATGAAGTCTTCACAAAAGTGAAGAGGATTTCTTTCTACGCTGCTCATTTTCGCTTCTCACCTTCCCCCACTGTTTGCTTTACGCCAAAGGCATTAAAGTCTGTCAGCCGAGCAAACCTCTAACAGACCGCATGCAGTTTCAAAATGACCACAACAAGATTAATGCATGGTCATTCCACAATCGCCTACATTCAAACGAGACTGTGTCGCGTACTCATTCTACAACACCTATAATCTGGCCGTCCATGATACACAACATGGTTCTCGGGAAAAAGCATTTCGATGTACTGATCCTGCAAGACCTTGATTGCTCCGAGCAATCTACGCTGGCATCAAAAGTTTGGAGCTTCTAAATATAGCGTTTGGTCACTTCGACTCATCTATTTTTCCACAACTGCTTTCTGTATACATTCGCCTGCGCGTGGAAGATACAGTTCAAGCATGGCAGCCATGGATGAAGCGGGAACTCCCGCTCTTGGAATTTCCAAAATGTCGGGCAACCATCATTTTCTGGGATATACCACTTACCCTAAGAACAGAGCCAAAGTGTTTTGGGAGCTTTCAGTAGACGCTAACGGTGTTTGCATGGTGATTTTATCATGGCTTATCAGATTTAAGCAGCCTTAATCAGTCGTGTTATCAGCTGTTAAAACAGCATAACAACAGATTGAGAGGCCACCGTCTCAAACTGGCAGAACAATACAACCGGCTGGAGTGTAGACGCAATTTTTCTCGTTCCTACCTATGTAAATCACTAGCATCGCCTGTTGTTTCACCCCATACATTAGTTGTGTTCACAGATCGTGTCAGCATTACGCTTCTTGTGTTACACCAAATCACCTGAACCATACGCATATCCACAAAAAACAAAACCACACCAACTCACCCGTTTTTCTGGGAAATGCAAATACGGTGACGTTTTAAGTTGTCTTAAAGCAAATATGAACGAAACTCCGCCGTGCAACTCAGCTGTTCTCGGCTGTTCTTTGTTCATGGTTGTTTTACATTTTCCTTTGTAAACCCCAACGCAACATCCTGAGGCTATTTCATCCGCAATAGACCATTGACCATTAATGTTACGACTTATCCCGTCTTGTGCCTTACCTTACTGGACCAGTTGCTTCCCTGTGACATGGTGGTTTCTTAAGGAAGCATTTCAAAATCACAGATAGGTCAGTGCCGCAACCGTTTCTATTTAGTGACATTCCAAAGCCCGTCTTAGTTGACATTCGTGTGTCAGCTCATACCAGTTCGTGCTAAAACCTTGCTTCAGAAAATCTCCACGATGCAAGTTACCCTTTTCATGGTTACTGTCTGAATGTGTGTCAACTTCCTCAACCAGAATAAGCATAGATCCATTTATACTCGTAAAGGGCTTACCACTCATCCATTGTTCCTTAGGTGGCGCATGATTTTGCGACCCTACCTCAATTGTTCTAGACTTTAGAAGCAAGTTTGCGTTGTAGCCATATTGCTGTCTATGACTCTTGTTAAGCTACTTTTGTATCTATTCTTTTGAGTTTTGTTCTTTTTACAGTACCGAAGGTGTGTTCGTAACAGTTGGATAATCACCCTACTGGGTGCATAAAGCTCTTACTTGGATGGAACAACTGAAATGTGAGCGATGTGGCACTGTTGTAGAGGATCGATTCACGCAGGTCATTGGGGGATGTAGTTACCCAGCTCGTGAATACTGTAATCCTTCGAGATGATGATATGTCTGTAGCTATAGCGTGTTAATCTGCTCAAAGTAAACAACACCTTTGACGGCTGCGTCGTTGTGTCGTTATCGGAGACGGCACCAGAGTGAGTCGACGTTATGAATTTTCGAATCATCCACAATCACGTACTGCAGATCAATGCGGTATTACAGATGAACCATACACTCCATGTTAACACGGCCTTTCCGGATGAGTAACATTACTGCCGTCTCGACCTCAGCATCAGTAAATTATTTGTGCAATAAAGACTTGACCTACTGGAAAGTCTGCAAGCTTGCGGAGGAGTTATTGGGCGTTAGTGTACATACATAGAAGCATACCAGATTCCAGCTTAGCGGAAGAGTTTGTGATGTTCGTTGGTGGCCTGCTGGCGACTAGTTCGGCCTCGGATTCAGTGGCTTTTTAAGTAATCCCAAATGAGACATATATACAGCGTATGGAATCTGGTCACTCACTTCAGTACCAAATAGTGTAGGCTCGTCAGACACATTGCCGGCCTACTGTTTGTTCCAAATGGCGCGTAAGGCAACACTTAAATACTGGATATGGGGTTGGTACCTTAGTTTTACCTTCATAATGGTTCCTTTTGCCGGTTCGATTGCTACAGTCCTGAAACAGTATAGATCCGTGACTATGATAGGTTACCATCAAGTGGTTAACATGGGGTCTATTTTGCAATGTTCTCTTGAAGGAATTTCTGTTTGAAGAAAAATTGAAGCGGTTGTTTAAACCACTGTCGCATGAAGAAGAGACGCTGATGAGACTGGATACCATTTTGACTGTAAGTCACGATATTTCACTTCAACTGGTCATTCAAGCATAAGTGACTAAATGTATGTGCATTTCATGACGATTAGCGGAGCTCAATAGAATGCTTTCGTGCCACCCATGAAAAATCATATGGAACGCAAGTCAAAGTATGTAGACCAACATTTCAAAAATAACAGCTAGGTCTCATACAGCGAGCTACTTGCATTGGAAAACGACCACACATAAATAATCGGTAGCTTGAGTAATGCTGGATTATATATATATATATATATATATATATATATATATATATATATATTGCAACTTAATGCATTAATATGTGTGCGTCTGTTTGTGTGGCACTCGGAGTGAAGACAGCTTGTCGTATATGCATAGATCTGCCAAACGGCTATTAGGGAAAACCGCACTTTGGCGACACCATTAAGCCAAAATATCAGTGTCGCATTAGCCATTCAACGACACTCTTTCCCTGTATACCAATGCATATGAAGCAGCGATCAAAGACGGGAGGTGCGACTAGTTCACAGTGGTACAATTCCACATGGCGAGCACTAACAATTATTGTGAAATACATACAGAGAAGATCCTTCGCTTTTTGTTGGCCGCATGCCGATGTGATAGATCATTGCAATTAAGATGATTAACTGAACGTGTATTGCAATAAAAACAGTCACAGCGAGGTCCGCGGATGACAAACTGGGTATGAGTATTTTTGGTAGTTATAGGACAGCCTAGCAAGTGAATTATCTGTTCTTCTAAATCCATACAACACAGGCAATCGGTGTAACGAATGAAGAAGAATTGGATTATCTTTTCACCCACTTCATCGTCTCAGCAGAAAATTCTCCAATCACGCAAAAGCTTCAACGGCCAACGAAAGTGATCCGTCGAATTGAATTAGCGCATCCTCAAGCCGCAGCAGAACAGGAGAGTGTGAATACAGAGAGTAAGCTTGACGTTGATATAGAATCAAATATTGATAGCTAATTTTGTCCGTCTAACGGTAGAACCGTGCGCTGATTGTACTGTTCAAAGGCATCAGCGGTATGCCAGTACGTAGTGGCGACGATCCGCTGCCTTGCGGCCACCATCAGTCGCGCGTAGGCTAAGAATACTGCGATGGTCACCCGGTCTCCTACACAGGCTGGAACCTGCGACCTCAGGGTTGCAACGCAGGCGCCTTGTCCCTTCAAGAAGAACCTAAGTTGAAAAAACTTGATCAGAGCATGACCAAAATCGTTATTTCCTGGATCGCATCAACGAAGGCACAACAATGTCATTAGCAATGAGTGAAAAGTTACAGAGAGCAAATGCGCTGGTGGAACAATACGCGTGCCATGAGAGTGTTTTCTGGTAAAAGAAGGTCCGTAACACCTCAGGATTAGTCCAAAGAACATCAGCATGCTGAAGGATTAGCTCGGATTCCAAGTGCTGTCATTAGTGTTGTGAAATGGAGCTACATGCAGGGTGTATGCTTCCGTACATCCAAGAGACAGTAGATGTTCACGATTCAGCTACGTTTACGGATAACTAGGCAAAATGCAGTCATAATTCTAATGAAACGACAGGGGTAACGAAGAGTGGTAAGTGTGAGCCAGAGAACAAGGAAGAGGTTTGTCGTATATAGACTTCTGTCTAAACGGAAGAATTTATTGGCGCAACTGAAAGGACAAAGAAAGGTGTCAGCAGTACGCCGGTACGCTGTATCGACTCTTTACTGCCTTGCAGCCACCAACGGTTGCATGTGGCGTAAGGACACTGCGACGGTCGCCCTAGCTATACGCAGGCTCGAACCCGCGCCGTCAGATTGGAAAGCAAGATGGTTACCTTTAGGCTATGGGCATTCGCGACAGAAACTGTCACTCGCAAATAAGAGCCCTTAATTGAGGTTGTTGTGTAATGCTATAACAGAATTTAAGTAAATTACTATACGGGAGATCAATCTAACCGCACAGATAATTCATCAGACGACAGAAGACCGTGCATCGTATGATTATCATACAGTTTAGCCCGCAATAATGGGCTGTTGAAATCAGGCACAGATGCTCCTGATAAAAATTGGATCGCCTGAATTCACGAGGTGTTAACACCATCATCAACGTTAAGTTAAAGGGATTAAACGACGTACAACAGTGGGTAAGCAGCCGAGAAGACTGGGTAGCGATCGGTAGTGTCCATTTTTGGTGAGACTCATTTATTCAGTTTGGCAATAGATGTTATCCATAGTGTATTCAACTTGATCCAGATCCGCAGTCAGGAATAACTCTTAATGGGCAAAAATCCTAAGGTACGCAAACAGCGAATGCGTTGAGCTGCTTTTAAACGCGAACGCAGAGAAATAACAAACATGTCGCGTTGTGAGTATAATAGTTACATGCTTAACCTGCAATTGGTACCGTCTAGTGCAGAGGCCATCGAACTTTTCTCGCGGTGGGCCAGATAACTAGAAAAAAATGACAAACGGCTGGAAAAAGTTATTTACGCGGGCCGGATAACTGACAAAATAGCTAGCGTCCGCCGCATAATCATTGTACGCCATACTTACAAGCCAGAACGAAAACTCAGGAAAGAAAAACAAAGAAAGCGCGATCGACAATTTCCGCTTTTTACTGGTCCTTGTGAAGGCTGAAATCGATAAGATCTGCACAAAAATGCTAGGGAATTACGAACCTAATAAAAATCTTCTTTACACACCGGAAAACCAATGACTAGTGATCATTAATGGAATTACGGCTCACTAGATGTGCACATTATGTTCATTGGTACCTTCGGTAATGGAATATATAATATACGAATTTTTGATATATATAGTACGCAAGAGTTGACTACACGGTCAGCTCACGCGTACCAATAGACTCCTGACGTTCGAATCAAGTGATCAATAATCACTTGGATCTGCAAGTGGCTCGCATAAATCGCACTGATTATGTCGTCTAGCCTGACGATGAAACGTCTGCAACCAAATCAGCCAGCTCGGAGAACACCCGCATACCCTCATCATTTCCATTTTTTATATTTGTCTCACTGAGTCTGTAAACTGCAACTGCTCCCCCTATTTGGGTGTGCACATTAAAGTATCATTTTGCAGCAGCGCAGTTGAATCGCTAAACACTTAAACTGACAATTAACTTATCCTTTGATGTGTTTACTTTTCACCACAGCCATCCTATGGAACTTCTCAAGCACCTGCCTTTCTATCCGAGATAAATAAATGTTCATTTTAATCTTGAACAAACGGCGTGCCTTTTATTCAACTAGCTCAACCGATAATTTCACGGGACGTAGTGGATCCCGAAGGTCAATTCTATTCGGAAGAGGACAGGGGTACTACGTTCGCCTCGACGGATGCTGCAGTGGCAGTGGACGTTCCTGATGACAATGATGAGGATGCCAACGAACGAAAGGCCGCTCTGGGGGAAATAGATGAAAATACAAGCAAACACATCTCAGCACGTACTGGCAGGACGAGTGATATAACCGGGGACCCACTTGATTCCAAGGTTACATTAATGTTCCGACCTATGCATGCAAACATCTGATTCTTCAGCCATTTACCTACCGCAGTACGATTGGTAACAGCAACCTATGTCCATGTACTTGAACCCATATGATCAAAAGTGCCATCAGCTCACGGCTGGCACTATTCATTCTGAAGACGCAGCACATCTAAACTGCACGTACAGATTCAAAAGTTTTATAGATGTCCCAAATTTTCTTGGCCATAGCAAAGCACCTAGTTTCTACATATTTTCCAGTAGATGTGAGAACTGATGGATCGAAAAACCAGCGATAACGATGAGTCATTGTATTTAGGATCGATGTTATTTTCAGAGCAAAACAAAATTGTCTTCGCCATTTCTCATCAACCCGACATGAAACCCACACGGATTGAACAGGAGTCGGCATTAACGACTAACATTTTCTTTTCTTGTTGAAACGCAACCTAAGACACCCACTTTGTTGCCCTTGGTGAGTTGTTCACGATACATATGGGCCAATTTTCATGTAAACATCTCAAGAAAGACGGTTGTTAAGGGTGGAACATTTAAAGGTACCAGGTTGTGACTGTATGGTCTCAAAACCGCTCAAGGTCATCAAGTTACGGTGCTCAGTGGTCCATCAGATTTATCTGGCAGCGGGAGGCTGTAAATAACGCTCGGCTCTGTAATAGTTACATAAATTAATTCATTCAACCATGTAAAAAGGTCGTCTTCTCTGACATTAACACCCTTTTACAGCCGGCAGGATCTGGTCGTGCAGCCGCTCGTGATTGAAAGCGGATCGGAGTAACACTTCTGGGTTCATTCTTTTCTGCAGATAGTTAGAAGAGCAGTAAACTAATCTACGGGTACTTTATTTTACGTTCATTAAGCGTAACACATCTGCCTCACTTTTCTATTGTAATTGGAATGACACTAAAGGATTCGGTAAGTTGTGTCAGTTAGTAGATGAAGTATTTATACTATTGGGAACAGTGAGTTTTCTCGGGGAAAATGCAGGTACTTGACAAATCCCGTAGGAGGATTGAGGTGAAGACTGCAAAATCAAAAGATATGTGCGTGATGTGTTTAAACGTCTACCGAGTTAAATGCTGAATAACGGTAGTATAAAATGAGATTATTCTTAGCACAAAAGAGAAACAGACGCTGTAGACTGCAAGCGAACAACTGATTTAGATTATTCATTTGTCAGACTTATGCAGCAATAAACATGGCAGTTACATTGGATATCAAGATAAACAACTGATCAGATCTCAATTTGGATCACAGCATCATATGGTTGATCATGTGCTTAACGTCATATGAATCTACTGAGTTTATTTGAATCTCTCCCCTCTGGTGGATGACCATGGCAGTTAGAATGACACTAACAGTTTGTTTTATAATCATAGGTTGGGTCTTGTTGACCATAAGTATACCGCCTTTGTAGTAGCAAGCAGCCTCACTATTAGTCCATAGCTGTGCTCTTCTGGTATTTTGAAGAGGATCTGGAAACCAGTGTTCTTTAATTCGTTGACCTGCGTTGTGAAGGTGGTTAGTTATTGCGCTGATGTCTGTCCCATCTTCTCGTTGGTTGAACTACCTCGGGAGGTGTTCTTTGATTCTCTTAAACCAGTGCATGGTCGTAGGTCCGACGTACCTTAGCCCACACTGACAGGTATGCCGGTAGATTACCAATAACTAGAGGTGATTTAGCACCCTGGTCTTTAAACCTAGGACCAATTAACTGTTTGCTGTGAAATATCACATACAGATGGACCGAATTAGAGGTTGTCTTGCTGCTTTGCTGCTGCTAGTCTACGTGTGCAGACTACAGCAGCGTTGTTTCCGTTTACACATATAGTCGAAAATAGCTGTTAATTCCACACCGTTTGCGTTAGCATTTTTTCTTCTCTTGCTTCATATGGGTGTCAATGATGCGCTTCTGATAACGGTTTTCAAGAACTGATTCCTTCGTTCGCTTGAGTCTGTCTTCAGCAGTGTCTTCATTGCAGCTTTAGTACGCGCACGTCAAGCCAAGAATGTGCTTTATGCACCCATCAAGAGTGAATGTTCAGCTCTAAAACACACCTCACGGACATAGATAAATAAGGAAAACGATTAGTACATGAGGATGGATATAAAACCAAAATCGTTTAAACAACTTGACATACCAAATACCACTGGAGTACTTTACCAACCAGTTCTTGCATGACTAAATTTTTATCCTTCATGAAACGTGCCAAGCACCATGTACAATAGACCGTTGTGCGAGCATATATAGTTTTGTAGCTCTGCCTGGTCGATCAGGTTAATACGCATTCCGACAAAGCTCTCTGGTGGTCGTGGCTACCATCGGTGAGTATTTTAGATGAAGTTGGTTACATTGGTTTACGTGGCTGGCTACAATGATGCTAACAAATTCCAGCCTTGAAATCCCACTACACCGGGATAGATGCTTCACTTATCTAGAAATTACATTGAAGTTCTTACTCAGGTGAGCAGAAGAGATCCCGGAAGTGCAGTAGGTCCAGTAGGGTAACACTCATGCAGGGACAAATCGCTGGATCAAAAAAACGAGGTACGGAAGTAGGCCTGAGACGTGTAACTTAATGTGAGTCCTCTGGGTTTGGCGTATGTTTCGTTCACGTGAAGCTACCTCGTAATTCCAATGCCCCTCTCAGAGATGTTGCTAAGATGGAAGAAGTCAAACATTCACCGTCCATGTAAAGTTGCGGGCACTGCGACAAAACCTGCTGGTTGGGATTTCCTTTGAACAGCGAAAAACGAACATCCTTGCATTTGGTGGTGTTTAACGGTAGGCAGCAGGACTTTGACCAAACTGAGCGTTTGTATTTTGGCCCACGACTGTATGCCTGAATCTAGGCGGCGTCAACGGATTCTGTGCAGCTGGCACGCGCAAACAAATGCTTCGTCGTGCATGAGAGCTTTTCGGCGGAATCCATGCTGCTCCTGCAGAAAGATGGTACACATTTCTAAATATCTCATGAAAACTGAAAGTAGCTAGCTAGTTGTTATGCGTCTGTGTTGCTCCATCGTAATTAGTTCGTGCACTTGCGCGTCTACTCTATGTTACAGCTGCGCCAAATGCTGTTCGGATGCGATGCGCTCTCCGAATCTGAACTCCGCCAAATGGGTGCTTAGGAATTGCTCGAATTCCGACAGCGATTTCGTGGGGACGATTTTCGCAGACAACCCGTTCCAACATTTCACCACGGGTCACTCGAGGCAAGAGGGCGTAATAGTACGGAATGCTTCACGATTAGACATGTTAACCTTCTCTGTATCGAGTGATTCTGAATGCTTCCGTAACGACAGATCCCATAACATTAGCAGGCACATGAAAGAGGGTAATCAATTGGAACATTGTGGGCACATCCCGATTGCCTCCCTTGAAAATGGGGTTAATGTTCCACACATCCACACAGTTGGGCCTGGATCTCGTCAAGACAAGGTTGGAAAAACTAGATAGTGCTTCAGCCAAACACGTGGCAGCTACCATTATGAGTTGGGACGTGTAGTGACATCAATCGATTCAGCACATTGCGGCTGTGAAGAGATATGGCTGTGTGGTAGTGGTGATGGGCTGCATGAGAATGTCATGTGATGGCGATGTCTTCTGGAATGTACAAGCGAATTCATGTCTAGGAATACCAGCTTCTACTTGAGTAGTTTGCACTTGCCCACAGGCGGCGTACTTTCCGAAAGCTGTTAACATGCCTGTAATTTAGCTTAGGATTACAGAAGGAGTTCTGCTTCAAATCTTGCTGGTGTTTTAATTTATCTTCGCGAGTCAGTTTGATAAGTTGATTTGCTCAGTTATGTAAGCATTCCAGCTTCCGGCGTTTGTATCGGTTTGCTATGCTTTCCAAAGTGAATCTCTTAGTCATTCGTTTTCGCGTCCTGATCCGCACGAGCGACTTTACTTTTTTGAGCTTATGATCTTAGTCTCTGCTACGTTTGTTACTAATGTGTTGGACTGACTGACGAATTTTCACCAAGCGACATCGGGGGGAGGGTTGTTTCGCTAGAAACGACCAATCAGTAATTGTAACGTGGTCGGAGAAAATGTTGTCAAGGCTTACCAGACGTCCCCGTTGAACCGTTCAGCGTAGCAGGCGTAACCGAAGAGCAGTGTTACATGATCAATGCGCCACAAGGGACTACTTACTGTTAAAGTGTCGATAATAAGTTCCACAATTGTAACGGTGAAATACGGAACTTCTGGCTTGTTCCCGTTCTGAATCCAGTAGAGGAAGTAACGTAATTATGAAGTGGTAGACCGGAGACTACTTCTTGTAGTTCAACCTTAAACTACTCGAAGCATATCTTTTCACAATGTAATATTTATGGAAAAGAATTTGAGGGAATCAACTCACGATAGGAAATACCTAGATAAAATAAACAAACGGTTGCGGCACTAACATATCTTAGACACCCAAAGGTTACACACATATTTTCGGCTGTGGACGGTACCTAATGCTTCAAAGCTAACCAGTAGGCGAGTTCGCAGCTTAGGGAGGGAAACACAGCTCGCTTTTCTTTTAGGCTTTAACATTTTGTTCGGGAGATTTTTCCATTGTCAATCAGTTAAGCCAATTAAGTATTCAGAGGAGCAACATCGAAATATTTCCATTTTGGCTACGGTCCTTGCGATCGGATTGACCGAGGTCCACCTCAAAGTGGACCGAGGTCTTAATAGAGGTTGCGTATCGCAATCCAACCACACATCGGGTTCTCTAATTCCAACTCTGAACCCTAGTTAAGTGTTTATCAGATTGTAGTTTACAGTTACAAATTTATATTGGACATGTCATCAAGCGGCATGAAACAGCTATCTCGTCGCGTGCAGTCCTTTTTATAAATCAAAAAATGTAGGTGGTGAAGTGCTAGTGACTGCAGTCCCAAGCGAAGAAGCAGCAACCTCTGAGGACAAGCAACCTCAACTTTCGAATGTTCAAACAGGATCCCTAGGACGAACTTTTCCGCTAAAGGAAGTCATCCATGTGGCTCTCGAGAGCAATTAGGCCAGAACAGAGCACAAAAGTGCGATCCGTTCTCAGCGATGGCGCCTACCGAGAGGTCGATAGCACCTTTGTCCCTGGGCCCCCGCAAGCCAACCTATGGATGTTCAGGTCGGGGGTAGCGCAAGCAAAATGGGCATCCGTGAGCAAATAAGAGGTATAGCGGTAAATTGATTGCGGCATGTCGTAAACGGAAGCCCAACCCACATGGTTCATCCTTCCCCCGGTCCCACTCATTGAACACATCCAATCAGACCGTAACACAGGCTAATCAATCACCGGTAAGTCATCATCATTGAACCATATAACTAGAACCTAGCACTGACCAGCTACTGTCTTGCCTTGCCTTACAATTTTCGGTCCTATCCACATTCCAGTTTCCGTCCACCACTGAGAGTAGTCCAGGTTATAACAGCATGCGCTTAACGGGACATAATAGAGTAGTTCGAGTAAACAACTGAGAACTCATCCGGTTCACATATAACGAGATAGGTCCCTAAATACTCAACGATTTTGACGCCAATGCGTTGTTATGTACAAACCGGTGGCAGGGTTGTCCGGACGTTTGGTTTGTACAACACAGGTCACTAGTTTTAGCTTTCGTAGGTGCTTATGACGTCGCAAAATCTTAGCCCGCGTGAAATCGCTGAAGACTGCGTGACAGCGAATTGCTGGCACCCCGTACTTGCGTGATGTTCGTACTTTTACCTTAGTCTGCACCAAAGACGATCTGGAAGGAGTGGTAAATAAGTTGCTGCAGTCGCGCATTACAAGTGGCTTACTCCAACTTATATAAAATAGGATATATGCTTCGAGAAGTATCAATGCTGAAGGTGGGGAAATTACAAAATCCGTGGGAATTAAGTGAGTAAATAGGCTTACGCGTATGCAAAATAAAACGAATAGAAACAATTAGCTGCCAAAGAATATTTGCCGAGTTAATCTATCAAACGTGTTTGGCGAGAAAAAGCCAATCCATGTGCCACTAAAAAAATGAAAGTCTGCACGAATAATATTAAAAGAGTCGCTGAATACTTAACCATCTTTTTACAAAGTAGACATTAAAAATATACGCACATACGAAAGAAGTGGTTTAATGGCTTGGCGGTTTGCTTGCTTCGGGTTTACACTGCATATGCGGTGTGTGGATGGAGCTATGGGTGATGCAACGCAGGCCACCCATGGTCCCTTTCTATTCTATGTTGGTTGTTTGATATCCCCGGTGTGGCTGCGCTTGATGTGAATGTTGACAAGGTGCCTACCTGTCTAACAGCGTCCACCTCAGTTACTGGCTCCAGGAAACTGTGAATCGTTGCTGGGTGGGGGACGGAGCGCACGGTCTTCATGACAATGCTACGTCCAGAGTGGCTCCATCGAGTGTGGAGCGGACTATGGCCCAGCCATCTCCATGTGTACATCTGATACGCATCATTCTCTACATAGACAGGAATGCTGCTGCTATGCATGTTGAAGGTGTGTGGGCCGACTCCGTTGAGGAAACGTGGCTCCCCACCACATGCCTCCCGGCCTTATTCCTTCGAGTTTTCACTGGATACGGGATGTGTGGATGGAGCTGTGTGTGGTGCAGCGCCAGCCACCCATGGTCCTTCTGTAAGCGCACGCGTCCCGTGGCTGTCCTATGGAGGCCATAATGACATGCAAATCAGGAACCGGATACTGCCAACTATAGTGCTCTGGATAGAAAAACATGGAATATAGTGGCACTTCAAATACGTCTTGTTGTGAACGCACAAGTCAGGGCTTAATACAAGCAGTTACACATAAGAAAATATATTACTCAGTCGTTGGGTATAGGTATTCGTGCAACGTCAGGTCCAGATGAGGAACTTGAGCTATCCTCTGATCTTGGCTATTTGATTTTAAAGGTTTCGTCAGAATACGTGCTACCCTCAATTTAGTCCGCAGTGAGCTCCCAGAGTATCCAGTACATAAACGATGAAACCCGGCACGTACTCGACATTCGCTGGAGCCCTTGTAGCTACCAAGAGTACTTGCTTACATGCATCAGATCAGCACCCGTGTAGGACTAGTGATCCACTGAATTTGAATTCGACAGACACCTTGCAGGGTTCTATTTTTCTTCCGTATACTGGTAAGCGCTGTCTCCTTGTTTCTTCAACCTTTGATGGAAGTAATAGTCAAATTAAGGAAGCGGTTCATGGCAATGGCATTCGCCACGATTCGTTACTGATATTATGGGCGAATAATTGTATCGAACTGAAAATACAAATACAAACTAACGGCTTGCGAGCTAAAAAATTGACCTGCCCTCGTCCATAACAAAATGTATGCGTTCGATTGGCACAGATACCTTTGAAGCCTTTCTATACCATACCGTGATTGTATTATCCTCAATCGCAGCAATGATAACTAGTATGGACACTTACTCAATACGCATCATCCGCTACAGTTAAGCTTAAGCGACATCACGTAATGGGTTCGCGAGGAAAAACGAGTAGTAAAAAGGAAAGCATTACCCCAACATGTTGAAAGTTATTGTGAAAACCTGTACGTCGGTGATTAGTTTAAGTTACGTCCTTCTACGAGCTGGGTGTTTCAGTTGCAGACTTTTCGTTTCCAGACCAGACAACATCAACAATAATCTGTAATACAGATACACAAGCCCATTTTATATCTCTCATCAAACAGAGCCACAAACAAACTGGCTCCTTGCATCCGGTCAATCCCCTGGTGTCAATTAATTGAGCACACAATTCTTCATCTGCTCTCCTACCTTGGCAGATTGATTGCAAACGTTCCACTACCATGCGAGGTGGCATCCTCAGTGCAGTGAGATGCAGTGTGCAATCGTCCATCCGTGATCGACTTGTAGGTGACTTGAAAGTAACAGCCTCGATTTACGTCCGATGATCTCTACCCGCTTTCCCCAGGACTGAAGTCGACGCCCGAGTTGTTCTGCTTTAAACCGCGTGACATAATCTTCCATATTTCTTTCTTCCGAAGTGGTTGGTATAATGAATCCATGTCGACGCGGATGCTGATTGGGCACTTTGTTGAGAACCAAGCTTCTAGGAATTCCCTTTCTTTTCTTGTTTCACCTCGTGCCAGAACTACTCCTTTTGTCCATTCGAAGCTAGGTCCTTCTTTATCCACGTTCATTGGAACTAGCGACAACGCATAATGCCATATACAGGCTCTTTCAAGCTCTTGTATTCTTGTTGCCAGTTTGCTTTCTGCCTGGCCAAGATATTGCCTTCGATAATCTCGGCAACGTATGCTGTATACTACATTCAGTTGTTCATGCGCATGCAGTTTTTCTTGGGGTTTTGACTGAGATTTTCTCAACATGGCAGTTGGTCTGTCACTACGATGAGATGATGCTGCCATTTGCGATATGTCCTTCATATAAGGCAAAACAACCATCTCTCCGTCGTTGGTATGAGCTGTCAGTTTGCGTTGTAGTGATGATTAAACCAGCCACGTAAGGCAATTCGATTCGTGCTTTGAGTGCGGGCCTTTGAAGAACGCACGTAGATTGGCCAAGTAACAACCGCCCTCGTCTCACTAGCCTAGGGTAGACTCTTGACTTGCTTCACAGAGGTACGTAAATATCTTCTAGCTACCAGCAATTATTGTTCGAGTTCTCACCGGTGTACCAGACTTCCATGAATTCACGCTCTTTGCGACTTCGTGCTTTTCTGTTATGTGTACCTCTCCTTGATCAAATTGGTGACCGGCAACATCTACATGCACTGATATCAGTGATTACTCATCGTGTTGGCTGATAGCCAGACCATGTTTGTGTAGTCTTGTGCTTGGTTTCCCTTCCGACTGGCCCATGTAGTACTTGTCACATTTTCTCAGAAAATGTTGTAACTCACATCAAATGTTTCTTGCTTGTGCAGCTTGTTCCTTAACTCGAAATGGGTGTTCCAAGCCATTTCCGTCGATTTGTGCACAAACTTTATCCAGAGAGGCGTTGAAAGCTTTGCTGCCACCTGAGAAAGGCGGGAGAGGGCCATTTATTAACTAAGTGTGCAAGGAATTCATATCATAGGAGCTTCATTCTAAGCTATCTGATATCTAGTAGACCACCACAACTCACACCCGTAACTGCAACATATAAAAGAACGAGTACCCTAGCTAAGATCATTGAAATCTCTGAGATGGCAGCAGAGCTTCTAATGCCTCACAGGCTTAAATTTGTGCACATAGCAACAGAACTGTTTCGGAACAAGTGGAGCGTTTTAGTGTGGTTTTTCCTTTCCCTGCATTCCACGACTGAGGCATTCGTCCTGTTTTGAGCTCAGTATGCAGAGATAGCCGAGCTGGAAGTGGAACACGACGCATAGTGCTTGGTGGCTATCACCATGACCAGTAGGCTATTGAACTCCGCGAAACAAACTTTTCGAGGACAAGCTGAACAAGCAAGAAAATCGGTTGTGATTTACGAAATTTTCTGCGAAAACGTGATAATTATTACATGTAAATACATGTAAAGGTATGATGGCCTCTCTGTTGTTTTTACACCCGGAGTAGCTGTACTTGCTTTGCTTTACCATTCTATCTGTGCTTTGTTCTGTTATCCTAACTCGTTTACTATTGTTTTTATGATCAACTGAATCATGGCTACAGGATCGATAGTGTTTCAGAGCAAAGCTGTTTAACTGACAAGTTACCGAACAGCTCAAACCGAAGTTTGCATCACTGAAGACTTCCAAACTCAAATAGGAGTTTGCGAAAGAACCCGCTGTAAAATAAGCTATCAGTAGTTCAGATGACCAGACAACCAGGAAGGTAGTGCTCCCTAAGTTAATTATGCAGGATAAACTGCGCATGGATGGCGATTGATTAGAACACCCTTTGGAATAGTAATAACTTGGCATATTAATAAATTATGTGCAATCTATTTATTCACAGCCAGTCTCATTGTGGTGCCATCCAAAGGACGAAGAAGCGCAGCCAGAAAGCTTAAGTGATATGACCGAAGTCACGGCGTTCCAAACGGATGAAGATAAGAAGAAAAAGGCGTGGTCTCTCATCTCACCGGCTAATGTGGTGAATGCGCTAAACCAGTTCATGGAAAATATGCAAAGTCAAGAAGTAGCGCATTGTACTGGTGCATTGAAGAGCAAACACAAAGAATCCGAGAAGGAAGGTTTAAAGCTGACACAGTCGGACACTCGTTTCAGTCTGTATGGATCAAAGCCACATGACAGTTCCACGAGCTACCGAAATGTATCCCCAGGCGGAGTTGAACCAGAGAAGCGGGACGATTCCCATGACACAGAACACTGGCAGAAGTACGCGTAAGTATAATTAGCACAAATATAACGGAAAATCAAGATTCTCACACATATAATTGTACAGTAATGCGGCTAAGCGAAAAGCATGCATACGACGATATATATATATATATATATATATTTATATAAACAAACACATATACATATATATATATATATGCAGCAGTCTGTAAACAGACATTGAGCTATCGAAAAGCCATGAGAAACAAAAAAGAAAAAACTACAAATCTCAGGAACAGATAACAAATATTTTGGGTATTTTGGCTGTTTTGTTTTCACACGCCGTTTTGTTCTGTTTTGGCATTTTCAATGGCATAACTCTAATCACATTTTTCAAAACATTTTAATATGCTGTCCTTCAACTGATTCCGGTTTCGCGCCATATCGCCAAGTGTGTCAAGCCGTCGGCAGTCCTCATCCTTGGGCCCCCAACCAGGAAGACCTACTGGGCTGACGATGGCGAGACAGGTCAGCGAATTCCCGCTTTGCCGCCATGTGGTTGGCTGAGCTGAACACCTTCTCTTCCAATTCAACCCAGTGCGAGAAAATAAGGCGCGGCGTGGTAAGCGCTCGCATGACATACCTAGAACGTGGTCAAGCCACCACAATGGACCCACTACAATAAAGCGATTAAGCGGAAGGCTCATGTTTCCCAAGGCGCGACACTGTACTTCATTGTTGCGAACCCGGTGCTGCCACCACACATGGGCTATCCGCCGTAAAAATGTGTTGTCGAAGGTCGAGAGCCAACGCAAGTCATCCACATGAATCGGCCAGGACTCAGTCCCGTACAACAGGACAGCGCGGATACAAGCGTTGTAGATCCTCCCTTTAAGGTGAGGGAAATGTCCCGACGACGCCACAAATGGCTCTGCTTGATAAATGCCGGTTGGATTTTGGCGATGTGAAGAGATATCACTTCCCCAATAGTGCCATCAGCAGAAATACAGCTCCCAAGTTAGACAAAGTTGTCCACAAGCTCTAGCTGTGTTCCTTCAATGGTAAGTTAGGGGGGAGACGACTTCCAGTCCTGGAGTTGCACTTTATACTTCAAGGGGGAAAGGCGCATGCCATACTGAGACGCTTCCGTCACCAGACGGTTCAAAATGAGCTGTACATTCTGGGAATCGTCACTGAGCAGAGCGATATGATCAGTACATACTAAGTCGGTCACGCGAGTGCCAGGAGAAACCACGACACCAAGATTTTTGGAGCTTTCCAGAGATCACAACAGGACGTCATTAATTGCAAAGTTGTGGAGAACCGAAGACAAAGGGCACCGCTGTCGCACAACACTAGTGATAAAGAGATGTGAGGAAAACTTGCCGTAGATTCCGACTCTACCTGACACTTGGAGATAAAACACCCGAATGATGGAAGTGTATATTTCAGGAAATAGATTTCTTAGCACACAATGCCATAAAGCAGGCCGGTCGACCGAGTCAGATGCAGCTCTACTGTCCAGGAAAACGACAATAGTTGGCCTGTATTAGAGATGGCGGTGTTCTAGGATTTGGCGTAATGTGAAGAGCTGGTCCACGCATCTTCGACCGGAGTGAAAGCTAGCTTGTTCTTCTAGGTAAAACAAAATTCGGGGATAGCCTGGGGAGCAGAATGGATGCCAGCGGTTTGGAAGCAACCGGCATGAAGTTGATTTCCCTGTGATTAGCACAGGATGTGAAAGAACTATTCTTGGAAATAGGGACACTTACTGACTCACCCCAGGAGGATGGAATCTTCTCTTCGTTCCATATCTTGAAAAACAGCAATGACAACCGCTTGAAAAGCGATGGGCCGCCAAACTTGAACATTTCCGGAGGAGGTTTGTCTGAGCCGGGAGACTTGAATCTCTTAAGGAGTCGAATCTCGAGGAAAACTTCTGCTTCATTAGCTGGCCCCAATGAAATAACCAAAGGCATGCAATTGAGTGTACTTGGCATACTAGCGGACAATGGATGAGGATTGAATTGGGAGTGAAATTGCTCTTACCAATGCTCTCCGCGTCTTCGCAGGTTAGTGTTTCATGATCCAGCCGCTTCACAAATAGGCTCCATGGCTCCAGACTTTCTGTGGCCGTTGAACAGAATGAGCTGGATTAGCTAGCGGAAATGGCCGGTGGGAGCAGGGATCTCCATCTTCAAGTCGCGCTGAGACCATAAATTCTCAGGGTCATTACGTAAGCTCTGTTTGAATAGGCGATTGAGTCTAGAGCATAGGATTGTGAGCTGCCTCTGGTGGTACATTTCGACGGCGGTCAAATGAGCGGAGATCCAACTTTGCAAAGGGTGTTGGGTGAGGCCACAAAGCAATTGACCAGAGAAAAGCATCGCTTTGTGCAAACAAGGTTAAGGTGGTTCAACATCTTGGGGTGAATTACAGGTGAGAGCATGCGACAGTGCAGCTTGTTAGCTTAGTTAGACAAATGGCTCAACTAACCTGTTTGCGTCAATCTTACGGTGCGGTTGTTTCCGTGGCCCAGAGAAGCGTGTGCAGATGTTCGCGCAAACCAGCGCGTGATCTGAGTCGGTAGGTTGACTAGAATGACCTGCAGTCTTGTATACTACCTCGTTAAGCGAAACTGACTGCGATGTGGTCGATCTGGGACCAGAACTGTGTTAACGACAGAGAGCGCAGGTTGCGGAACGTCTCTTGTTATGCCTGAAATTGGTACTGGTGAGGAACAAGTGGTTGTCCTCGCGCAATATGAGAAGCCGGTCCCCATTATCTGTGCGTTCGTCCTTAAGCGCGTGGGGACCTCCAAGATGGCGTTCAAACGTAAGCAGACGGCTGGCCCGTGCATTAAAATCATTAGCAAGTACAACAACGTATGACTTGTTCACTTTACTCAGAAGAAAGTGAAGTTCCCGGTGAAAATCATCCTTGACAGAGTCGCTGCTGCTGTCATTTTGGGCGTAGGTAGCAACGACAAACAAGTTGCGTGTTTGTTTTTCATGTCTGTTGATACGACATGATCCCTGAAGCCCAACTGCGCAGAGCCGACTGTTTATTGGTGACCAGTCGAGCAAGGCGTCTTCGACTTTCTTAATTGACGCTATCCCAACGTCAGCCAAACCCGCTACATTGCTTCTGCGTCAGTGGATAGTCACAGTTGGTATATTGTTCCGCGATCAGAAGGGGACGTCAGTCTGAGTACAGTGCTGGGATCCTGCAACCGGGTGTTCGGAAACGCAACAAACGTCAATAGCGAGAGACTCCAGGGTGCGGGTCAGGCCGGCCTGTTGACCAATCTGCATAGGCATTGGTAAGTTGACGCAGGCCAATCGGAACATCGATAGAGGTTGAAGTATGGCTGTCGATTGAAGTTTTCCGGGTGTCGGCAAAACCGAGATTGGAGGCAGAATCAACGGAGGTAGGATTGATAAGAAATGAAGTGTTGGCGTGTGATGGAAGTTGGCGAACGGCAAAAGCAGAATTAGCAGAAGCGTGGAATGAAGGCAAAGCCATGGTTTTTCTCAGCGGGCATGATACTACCCGGTTGCCTAGACCGAGGTAGAGAGTTGGCTTAGGTGACTCTGCTTCGAGCCTTTCGCTCAATAGCCTACCCGCATGGCAGCGGGGCGAAGTCAGGAGGTTGCCTTTTGTTCGGCAATCTGCCAAACTGGGGCCCAGTCCACCCAAAGATTCAGACTCCATCTGAGGACTTGCAATGCTTCGCGGAAGCAAAGCAAGAGGCGGTAGCTTTATTTAGTGCCGAGTCACACCCGTCACGTCACAGGTTGTTAAACGTACAGATGTGGCTTGTTGTAGTGAGAACGCTTGCCAAGCGAAAACCCAACACCTCCGGGAACAATGCCGCCGAACTTTTTGCTGGAACGGGCCAAACCTGATCCACCCAGCTGGCACAACAAGGAGGTAGTTCGGCTAGCCAGCCACATACGTTGGTGCTACTATCCATAACGTGAGGACTGAAGAGCAATGGTCTCATGAATGAAGAGGGGAAGCCTGAAGCCAATCGGAAAATAGAAACCATTAATACGTGTGCGGTAATTAGGAAGTGCCAAGATGGGAAGTGGCGAAACACCAGCGTTAACAACGGTCGTGAAAGGTAGAGTAACTATGGAAGATATATATGTTTCATGGACACACTGGGTGTGGGCACACAACTGTCATGGATAGAGCACCAAAGGCCTAACTATTCCTAACCTTGTTAGTCCCAAAAAATTGTTGAAACCAGCGCACCCTCATCACCACTCGATTATCTGGCAAAGAAAAAGTCAGTTGACGGAGCAGAGAGCATGTCGCTTGACATAATCCCCTGTTCAACACGAACGGTACTAGAGGACAAAAAACACCAATTAAAATAAGAACGTACTTGTTTCAATTGTGTTTGGCGGCACAGAAAACTGAACGTTGTTGTTATACGTCTGAAATACGCATGACAGAGTAACGCTGTACTATGTAGTAGAGCGAACTGGCATGAAGAGGGAAGGGACATGCTGAATTTGCAAACGGTAACAGACAAGTTGCAAAAGTGCGCAACCTCAGGTTGCACAGTGAATTAAGTAAACAGTCAGTGACATAGGGCCTAAGCTGAGTGGCGTCATTTCATGTAGTAGAAACTGTAAACCATTCGCTAGAAATCATTTATCCGATACTCTCGAGGCCACTGGTCGACATCAAGAAGCATCAGCAAGGAGCTTCATTTCGAGTGTGCCCATCGACTAGACTAAGTGGAGAGAACGGGAAATATATTCCAGAATCTTTGAAGCCATAACACTAGAAGGACGAGACATATTCTTATGTAGCAAAGGCAACGAGTAGAAGTTCTGATGTCATTTTGTCACCGGTTTTGATTTGCGATTAGTCAAAGGATTTCTCTGTCCGCCATTCAGATATCTAACGTATGGACACCATTTGTACTTAGACGTTACAAAGATCACTTGATCTAATTAGTTGTTTGCATTAGCTAATCTTTGCATCTAGAGGAAAGATGTAGCAAGTGTACTGCAAATAGACTACATTCCTGGGAGTAGATCGATACAACAGTTGATGGGGTACCAAATTGGGTGGAAGGGCTGGAAAAATTAACCGCTAGAGAGACGTGAATTAGTGCGGCTGATGCACTCCTAGGTCAGTCTGATTGTCAAATGATGTGCGATCAATTTTGGGTGTAACAGCTTCCTTGCAGTATGGTCACCCGATTCCAAGAGTGAGTAAATGGAATAATAATTAACATCTTCATCCATTTATGCACCTATATCAAAGGCAGGTGAGAACAGCCCAGCTCGAAATGAGCCAACTGAGTGGGATGAATGTATAAAATTATCGTTACCTATGAGAGATTCATGAAAGGGTTTGGCGCTCCGTTCGCCTAGTCCAAATACCTCGTGCGCCAAGCTGGAAGAAAAGAAGGATGAGAAAAGTCAAGTGTACTTTACTCAACCTCCTTGCTATCATGTCCGCTGCATGTTGCATAAGGTAGGCAAAATTAGTTGTCATTTAGATAATGTCCAATAAAGTTTGAATGTCCAGTAATGCCACATTTGCAAGTCTATTGGATGACACTTCGGCAGAAGAGAGTGAATAGATGGCCTAGAATCAATGTATCAAGAACAGTAGCCACTGCTTGACATATGGTTTGTTCTGGGGGTCGAATTAGTTTCTGTGGGTTGGCCACCGCTGGCACATAGCATTACCACTTCAACCGCTGACTTCCTAAACCGTAGACCACTATCGAACAGGTGCGCAGAACAGAATGATACTATCTGAGTGTTGCACAGGCACAAACCTGATAAACTGTAAATACTTCGATTTTCACCACTTAGTAGGCCGCTAAGCTAGCCTGCGACCTGGCCATGGAATTTTACGCAGTAAGTTTTCCATGGCCTCTGAACGTGGGCAAAACTGGTCTGAAACGTCTAGCAGTTTCGTAGTAGACAAGCAATGTTTAAACTGTATGCTAGCGTCTATTCCCATGTCAGATGTACCACAGAATGAAAAGTGGTATTATCCCTTGTTATTAGTACATTTACATCGGCTGATCTACACATAGTTCCGCTAGTACCGCTATAGTCGTGTGCATTTGTACGCTACATCAAGCTATACAATTTGGTTAGTTGGAAGAGCGGTTGGTAGCGCTGAACCAAGCTAGACAATTGTTGCGCACTCGATGAGTCTTAGTTCCATGGTGACGCCAGTAAAAGCCACTGGGTACAGTGAACCTAACCCCTTGGATCACGGTTGATTAGGCCGGCCGGTGGCCGACGGGTCTGCATGTGTGGCTTGCAATTATAAGTTCACCGGTTCGAATCCACTTAGGGGTGGGCATGCCCGCGGTGTACTCAGCTCGCGCACGACTGGTGGTGGTCGCTCGGCAGCGAAGCACCGTTACGATGTACAGCTGACACATTGTTTTTATTATTATTATTGTTATTATTATTATAACGGTTGCTTGACTGGATAAAACTATTGGTGAAACAGAAAGATAGTTGTAGAATCACAAGTACTCTCAGAAACCACCAATCAGGTAGCAGTAATAGATTCCAACCAACAAGGACGTATGGGAGCAGAACGGCTGAGCGCAGCTCGAAGTGTATTGCAGCTGCTGCATCGAGCATGCACTCAATGCAAACACTCGTCGAGCGCGCAGTTTGAGCCAAACGATTTTAAGTGTGGCTCTAAAATGCGCTAGTGTAATCGGTATACACGTGGGAACGTCTAAGAACTTAGTCAAGAGATCAGTAAAATGAGTGGAAACTCGTGAATTTAGGTGGTGATCGAGTGACCAGATAAAGTATATGGGCTATTCGCCACAAATTCCATGCGAAAAGAAAAGGTTGTTATTTTACGGATGACTACACCTAATCAGGTTAACAGTATTGCTTCATACAAATTGCTGATTGGGTTCTCACAGCTAGTTCTTTGAATATTCACCCCCTTCTCTAAAAGAACTCGTATCGTATCTTCGGAGACTGAGAAAGTGTGGGACAATCTGTGCGTCGGTTTAGAACGGTACCTACGTATTCTGAAGCATCGCGCAAAAATGATACACGAATCAGAAGTACTGAAAAGACAGAATGAAGAACTCCGGCATCTGTTACAGCAGTATTTGAAAGCACCGGTAAGTATGTGATACCAGTTTTTATCATAGAATCGTCTATGAGTAGCTGAAGGAAGCTTACGAGTATCCACGGCGGACGAAGTGTACCCATGTCGAAAATAATTGGTACAGGAGCACCAAATTCTAAGATTGAGAGCAACCGCGTGTACAACTGAAATAGTTGCAGTTAATTTGATTGCATACATCAGAGGTCTAAATAACTTGACTGGAGTAGATCCAAAGCAGAGAAACCTGTCCCTATAAAAACAAGCAGTTACTCCATATGAGAACCATCGTCTAAGACGATTCCATAGCCTGAAGACGTAGTTTATGAGCATTTAAGTCAAACACGATGATAATTGCAATGGAGGCATTTTAAGAGAATGAAAATGACGTTGAGGACAGTGAATCCGGAAAGAAAGATGTAGGGAGGCGATGAGCAGGTGCAATGGCACATCTGTATGCAACTGATCGTTATTACACAGGATAGCATCCAGTAACTGGATGCAGGACATCAGCGGAGAAAAATAACTAAAGCTTAGTGAGTGGCGCAACTTGACCCTCGTATCAATGCAAACACCCATCTACTTCGAATGCGGTCATGGTGTGCCAATAGACACGAGGAAACTGGTGGCCAGCTAGAGAATGTATGTCGCAATCCATTCACACGAGCGCACCCAAAATGGCCACTCCCTAAACAGTTATCAACCGTGGAGGGTTTCGGTGTTGCTCTCTCCTGACAATCAGTTAAAAACCGTAATTATAAGCATCCCCCATCACCACTCGCTAATTTAGGGGCTTCAACGGCACTCTACAGGTCCCTAGTTCGAGTGTATTCGCGGCACCTCTACCTGATAGACGCGGAAGAATGCGAAACTGGACGTGAAATGCAGATTGAGAACTGGTTCAACAGCTGTCGTTCAACCTAGAAAATTTCTTTTCTACTCCCTTCGTGTACCCACAGCCCCTGAAGCAGCAATATAGAGCAGAGTCGAACCATCCGCTGCTCAGCGGACTAGGTAGCGTTTTGTGCAAATCAGGCGATCAGCGAACTCAGCATGCAGCGTTTGCGGTTGTTGTGCCGAGTCGTGAAAGGCCATAAAATGCCTAGTTGGATAAAGAAAAAAATAGACCAGAAGTCTTAATTGAACCATTTTGTGTCAATTCTCAGGATACATTGGGCACAGAACTTGTTATATGCACTGTACCTATACAATTTACCCCACGTCATACCGAATTGGAGTCAGTAGCTCAAAAGCAACCTGGTATTAGACTTTACAATAGACAATCGACTTTTTATCCTTCCGTTGTTCATTGTTTGTGAGCATGAAGAACTCTAATTTTCAATTCCTACTCATTAGTTACTTTATCATCGTGGTATCCCGAGTTATGCACACACACATACATACACACACACATTGTACACGTTAGCTAGAGGTGGGAAACACCTCCGCTACTGTGCCGCAATACATAGAAGAAAAAGGCGAAAAAATGCAACAGGTGCAAGCCGGCTGAGCTAGCGATAACGGATGGACATCGTTCCGGTAAGCTACCAGCCGGCTATTATGTAGCAGAAAAAAATAACTTACCATGCAAAATAATGAGATCGTGGTTGGAGGGAGAGGTTAAGAAAGATGGGGTGGGACAAAAAAACTCACAACACGAACGCCACTGGGGTCGGCTCCTAGCCGTAACAAAAAGTGTATCCAGCCAAACGTGTTCACCGTCTTTCGGACCCCAACCAGGGAACCGAGACGTTCCAACCGAGGTCAGCTCCGAAATGAGGGCCTTCATTCCTCTCGATGAAGTCATCACTTGGCCACGCCTCCTCTTCTTCCATCCACACCCCCGGTAAGCAAACAACGCACGTCGCGGGAGTCGGTGGGCTGCCATGCGTAACACGTGGCCGAGCCATCGGAGCCTGCTGCGTGAAATAACGGTACTGAGCGGCTCATTTCCTTCTCCTGTGCCGTAAACAAGGCGTCGAACACACTCGTTGCTCACTCGGTGTTCCCACCAGATGTAAACTAAATTGCGAAGGCACCGGTGGTCGAACGTAACTAGCCTCTTTATGTCCGCTGATCTAAGGGACTAGGTTTCACAAACGTACAGTAGGGTCGAAGGTACCGCTGCATTGTACACTCTACCCTTCAGGGCGAAAGTGATGTCGCGCCGGCACCATAAGTGGCGAAGATTAGCAAAAGCGCCTTGAAATTCTGTTATACGGTTCGTGATCTCATCTTCAATCCCACCGGCACTGATACAACTTCTAGCTGATCCCCACCAAGAGTAAGCGAAGAAGGGGGCCCAGGCCTATCTTGGAGAAACGCTCTGCACTTCGAGGGTACCAAGCAAAGCCCGAAGCGGCTGACAGTGAGTGCTAATCTGTCCAGTGCCGCTTGCGACATCCGCGAGCTATCATCAGCATACTCCGAGTCAAGCAGTCGTCCTCCTGGGAGCAGATCCACATCTTCTAAGTCGTGTCCTGTAAACGCGATTTTCATGACTTCATCAATAGCAAAGTTGAAGAGGAAAGGTGACAGCGGACATCCTTGTCTCACACCGCTGGAGATATTAAAGGGCGAAGACAGCTTGCCGTAAGCCCTCACTCTGCCCTAGCTGCGCGCATATAGTGATTGGATAATATTTACATATATCTCAGGTACACTTTCCCCAGTAGACAGTCCCAAAGTGCACGTCTGTCCGCCGAATCGAATGCACCTTTGGTATCGAAGAACACGACAATGGTGGGCCACCAATATATGTGACCGTGCTCCAACTACTGACGCAAAGTGAAGATATGGTCAATGCAGCCACGACGTTGACGAAACCCGGCTTGCTCCTCACGAATCTGGCTTTCACGAGTGCCAGTCAGTCTGTGAAGGATGACAGAGGCAAGCAATTTGGAGGCGATGGAGATCAGACTGATTCCTCTATGGCTGCGCATTCCGATCGTGAGTCTCCCTTGAAAATTGGGACTATGACGGAACGGCTCCAGTCGGATGGGACAGTTTCCTGCTTCCACAGTTTCAATAGTAGGTCGTGTAAATCATGCACAAGAGCAGGTCTCCCGAATTTGAAGAGTGCTGGGAGTAGATCATCTGGTACCGCGGCTATATATAACTTCGAATGTCCGATCTTACGTTCCACTTCTGAGCGAGAGAGTGGATCCAAACGGGATCCAAACGAGAAATCTAACAATTTCGGCCGATTAAATTGCCTTTCAAAGTGCTCAGCCCAACGGTCCAAGCGTTTTGACAAGTTGTAGATGGACTATCCACGCTCGTCATGTATAGCTTCACTAACATCAGGTCTTCTGCTGCCCGTTTCCCGTATCAGCCGGAATAACTAACGATGGTTACCAAGGGCAGCGGCCATTTCCATCTCTGAAGCACGATGAGACCACCAGCATTCGCAGTCTCTGTTCAGGATAGCACAGAGTTTTGCCCGGAGCTCTGTGCGAGTTTCATTGTGTTCGCTTCCAGTTGGAATATGCCGGCGAGCATCGATAAGTTCCAGGGAGTGCGAAGAAACCCAATGTCCATGATGGCGATTAGACTTACCACATGAGGATTCGCCTGCTGCTAATAAGGTCGGGTGAATATGATACCAGTGAACTTCAATTGCATCCAGGGAGCGCTTATCCAACTCACATGACAGGGCACTTTGATAGGCATTCAGAACAGCTGATTTCGCCAGTTGGCTGGTGTCAATGCGGTCACAAGACAGTCATGGGCGTCCGCCAAAGCGCATCCGCATGTCAGCACATACAAGTGCATGGTCGGTGTCTACACATGTGCTCCAAATCGAGCAACAGTTCTGGACGCAGCCTCCCCATCGGTATCTGAATGCAATGTGATCGATTTGCGTCCATAGCTGGTTCAAGGCTGGTGGGCGCCAAGTCACCCTACGGTGGGTGCTGTGTCGGAAATAAATGCTCGCAAGAAAAGTGGGCATCTTCACACAAATGAAGTACTCGCTCACCGTTATCATTACGGGAGCCTACACCATGTTGGCCGCCCAGATGCAGTTCATCAGTGGGTACTTTTTCAACTTGAGCGTTCAGATCCCCAGCCAGCACAACAGTATCTGAGCTTCTTCTGTGGCGAAGGAGCTCGTTCCATTGGTGATAAAAGTCGTCTTTTACCGAGTCATCGCTACAGTCTATGGGTTCATAGGCAGCGATAACGAATAGACACCTGTTGGTCCCACGCGACTTCGAAGTTTTGAACGAGCTAGCCAATCGGACTGCACACACCCGGCTGCTGATTGGAATCCAGTCAACCAGAGTAGCTTTAGCCCGGGGACTCACGGCAATACAAACACCGGCTTGGCTGGTGCTCGAAGCTGCATCGTCACCGGATAGGCGCAAAGAGAAAGTGCTGTTGGTGTCACCTGAAGGGGATCGCAGAGTGAGCACAGAGCTCGAGTCTTGCAGGCGGGTCTCCGATAAGCATCAGATATCGATCGAGATGGTCTCTAATATTCGGGCAAGTGCTGCCTGTTGACCTATCTGAAGCAATGTGCGAACGTTGAAGCATGCCAATCTGAAGGATAATCGATGGCACCAAATGGAAGTCGATGAACTGGGCTGGACCGCTTGCTTTGACATGGGCCTGTTGACAGGGCAGGAATGACGCTTCGCGTTCACATGTGAGTTGAGACTAAAAGACGAGCGATTATTGAAGCAAGGTGGGGGAGGGTGTAGAATTGGGGCTTGAAAACAGGGGGGGACAAAAGTGAAGCTGGAACGGGACGTTAAGGGTGAAGAAGCATAAGAGGGGGAATAAGAAGACGTGAAGACTTGGGCAGTAGCATCCGAACGCCTATCTACCCTGATCGATGCAGCAGATAGGGCACCGTTGATTATCCTCTGCGGCCAGAGCATCAGGAAATTCTTTGAGAAAAGATTCATAGGTTTGCGTGAGCAGGATACTGTCAGGTTGCCCATGCCTAGACAGGAGAACGATTAGGGTTCTCAACCAAAGCCTTTGTTTCAAAAACCTTACCGCAAGGCAGCGGCTTTGGTGTTGGGCTACAAAGAGTCCGTCCTCATTCCAACCCCCAACCTGGAGGATCAGGAGGCTGAGTTTGTCTGGACTCTAACTATTGACCAATCTGGTATGAGCGGCTCTGAAGGTGCAAAAATAGCATCACCCAGCATATCTCAATGGATCGCTGAGGCACACAAACCATCGCACCATGGTAAGGTCCAGCCTCATTGCGATGACTGATTAATGGAAATCGGATCTAACACACTTTGGTGCCCGAGGTGTGAATAAGTAAGCGACTGTCAACGAAGTGTGAATATGACACGTGCTACCTGTGTCTTAAGTTGGTGAACACTTATGTATGGCTTTTGAGATGAGTGATGACGCTGCCAATACCATCGATGGTTCAAATTTTCTTTCCCATTGGCGCGTCAGTAAACGGTTCACAGCACGGGAAAACTTAAAAACACGAAAAATTTCTAGTTCTGTCGTTCGGATGAGCTGGGACGATTCCCAAATTCTCGATGGGTGCGGCTACTTTTCCCAAGAAAGCGGATTCCGTCTACAAACTCGAGCGGTCAGATAGCATGTATGTCGTCAGCGCGCATGTCAGGGACACACATAAATATCCCGATTCATTACCAGCGCTAAGTGATCACCGCTCACTAAACAACTCAATAAACTAATGAGGAAATCGGTGATCAACAGCAAAATTTTCCGTCCAAAGTAGCCGTGACCGCATGAAATCATGTACTAAGATTTAAACACCCAAAGGAAAGTGAAAGAATATTAGAAGTAAAACTTATGTGTGAACAATGCAGTGGGCGAGCACATGGTTTCAATGATAAATGCTTGACATTCTCATTGCGTATGGTGGATTTTCCCAAACTTCAACAGAGTCGCACTAAATACGATGTGGAAATATAACATGGTTCTGTTTTGCATTCCAGGTTAACAGCGATCTGCAGTTACCGCCCGCGACCACAATGAGGCTGGAGTGAGAACAGACATGGATTTTCTCATTCACATCCCTGTTTTGATAACACTTATTCAAAAGTTTAACGTCAATGCTTCAGATCTGTCTGAGGCCGATCGGAGGCAGCGCCAAAAGGCTGCACATACACCATGATTGCCAGACTGACACCAAATGGCATTGATGAACTGTGAATGGAATAGAGAATAAGACTTTGTTTCACTTAATAGCTAATGACCGAACAAGTTAGCGAACGATTCGCTGCCGAAGAGAACAGACTCTACTTAGGACTAAAAAATCAGTATTGATAAACCGACTTCTGTCGAAAAAAAACAACATATGGGTCGAGCCAGTTAAAAATTGTTGTTGAATATCAAATCTGCAGCGGATTGTAATGCGAACGGAAGAAGGATCATGAATCAAGTGCCCAAAAGGGGATCAAAGTAGGCGAATACCATTCTCGACATCAACAATGCTGGCCGATCGATTAGTTTTTACGACCTTCAAAAATGTGCATCAATTGCTACCAAACATTCGTGATGAGGTGACACAGCCAGGAGCAGGCATTTCCGCTGGGGCATCGAGAGTGTATCATAAAACGAGATCATCGTTACTGTCTAGTAGCTTGCAAGCTGCAGTTAGCAAGTGAGACACTCATCGGTTAGTTAAAGGCCGGCTCGTAACCCTAAGGATCACAAACCTCCTTGTAATCTTGTGGTAGCGGATTCGAGCCTGCGTGGGGACAGGGCGTCCCTCGCAGTATCGCTAGACCACTCACGACTGGTGGTGGTTGCGCAGCAGCGGTCGGTACTGTGTACTGCGGTTACTTTTTTAGTTAAAATAATTAAAAGTCCTAATGTGGGCTTAGATTACATCTTCCAAAGCATGCTGACGGCTTCAAAGAAATAATTTAGGAAACATATGGAATAATGGTTTTGTAGGTGTAAATACGCCAATGCTTAACAGGTCCCGTAGGATTTCTATGGTGAAACTTCAAAATAAAAAATTGTTGGAAATGTTTTTACAACGGTGAGCTCACCGACGTATACGTAGTATAACATGTAAATCCAAGGTAAGTCCATAAGGAATGACGGCAAATGGGGTGTTGGTAAAAGTCGTGTCTCCCTCTGGTGTACACATATAAGAGGTCAAAAACGTGGAACAGAATCCGGGATTTGACCGCCAGTGAAATCTTTTACAGGCATTGTGTTTATCCATGTTTAATGGGTCATGTAAGAGGGTGCAGCGAAATAAGTGCACGGTAACTTTAAACTCTGCCAGCATGGCAGCAAAGATGACAGATTCCAGTGGGGCATTCTATGTTCTGCAGTCGCGTACGGAAAAGCAGTTCCGACGCATTCCAAAGGGCTGTTGCTCTGCCAGTTTGAGATGATGGCCTCTCAAATTACTGTTATGACTGAGCACTTGCAAATAGCGGCACGTGTGACTAGGATCTCTCAAGAACTGGAACGTCAAAATAAGGTTCATGCGCAATTGACGATACTGTCCCCTGAAGACCCCGAGCACTTGTAGCCTAGGTCCATACGGTAAAGACCCAGAACATTTTTGGTTGCTCGGCGTTGGGCTATCACTAAGGCGGTGAGATCTCTCCTTAGCCATGGCTCCCAGACCTGCATTGTATATTCCACATGTGGCCGTATGTCTGAGCCGAGTTGTGAAAATCTGGAAGGGTCACATCGTCCGAACGCACGCTTCGGGAGGCCTACGTTTTGGATGCTGCGCCTTGACACCGTTTCAGCCTGATTCGAACATCCAGGGTCGACCTGGACAATAACACCAACCTCCTTCTCGCTAGAAGACCTTTGATGCTGCTGGTTACCCAGTTTGCAGGAGTACACCCACCTGTGCCGTAGCTGCATCACTCTACGTGTGTCCACATTGAATCGAAGTAAAGATTGGATTGACCACACGTATACCCACTCCAACTTGAGGTACTGTGATATGACCTGGTGTATTGGTCGCCCTCCACACCATGATGTCATCGGCATAAATCAGACATTTCGAGCCTGTGAGGCGTGTGACATCGTTAATATACGTCAAAAGTAATCGCGGTCCAAGTACTGATCTCTGTGGTACTCCGCATTCAACTCGGATAGGATCTGACAGTGATTCAAGCACTCGTACTTCCAGGCGCCGGTACAGAAGAAAGCATCTGATCCATCCTAGGAGAGGATCACCAATACCAAATGTCTGTAGGTTGGAGAGCAGGATGTTGTGGTCTAACCAGTCGAATACCTTTGAGAAGTCGAGAAAGACCACATCAACTCTTTTGCCAAAGTCTACTACTTCAGTCCAGCTAGATCGTGCTAGTAGTAGATTTGTAGTGCACGGGCGATTTCGTCGGAAGCCATGCTGTTCCGGTGCGAGGTGGTTAAATTTTTCTAAGTAGGCCGTTAGCGCTCCAGGAATAATGGCTTTCATGACCTTGGAAAGAACTGCTAATAAGATTATGGGTCGGTAGTTGACTGGATAGGAACGACTACCTTCCTTGTAAATAGGAGTAATCATCCCATGCTTTCACATGTCGGGCACCTACATTTCGTCAAAACAGTGTTGGAATAATTGAGCCAAAGGTTACTTGGACTTTGTCCCACCGCGGCTAACGGTTTCGTGTGTATAATATCAATCACACTTGCGCATACTCGACAGCATGTTTAGTACAGCTTCTGTCGTAAAACGATGTGTGTTTTGGGGGTGAAAAAACCATTGTCATAGGGTTATGTGGCCAGTGATCGTACTGAAATGTTGCAACATACGTTAGGCGCAAGGTATTCGCTGCTTCCGGTGTTCGTGTGGGTCCATCCGCTGTTCGAAGAGGAGGGATTCCCGGTTTCACTTTAGGCAGACATTTGACGTGTTGATACAGAAGCTTGTGATTTGAGGCCATACTCACTACCAACTTCTGCTAGTACGCCATTCTATCTTCGCAAAGTAGTTGAGTACAGTGGTTACCTTGGGTCGTATACGCCACCCAGTTCTCGGTGCTAGGGAAGAGTTTGTAGATATGCCAGGTTGAGTTTCGCACTGCTATTCATTTGTGTATCCAGCTTCGCAAAAACGAGACCAGGTTTATCGGGCGGAAGGTCTTTGTCGCTGACGCTTAAGCAACCGTAGAGTTAAACTGGCTGACGAAATGTTCCCATGCACTAGCTGCTGCCTCGCCTCTCAGAAAAGTCCAGTTGGCTGTCTCACCTAGGCGAGCTAATATGTCGTAGCGTATAGTCGTTTTTGTTGCATCGGCGATTTCCACGGGATATTCTGCATAACAAATGTATACGAGGAGTAGGACTACATGATCGCTGCGGCTCAGCGGGACATCGAGGATCACCATCTCGACCATGAGTTCTTTGTTGGTGAATATCCGATCCAGTATCGAAGGCTTATCTTTTTCTTGGAGACCTTCCCATAGGAAGATACAAGAGGTTCATTTAGTGCACGATTAAACGCTATCTGTTCCACTCTCTTCCCGCATAAATGGAAACCAACAAAGCGTCGGAAACGGCAGGAAAACATAAGGGATAATCCGCAGTGTCAGCTACTACAATGTGGACACATTCAGTGGCTTTACTACAAGAGACGCAAAGATGTCGCTATAATGGTTATCGATGGTTACTAGCGAATAGCATACTTACAAGACGATGTAACTGCGAATTTTACGGAGCACTGAACCAGTGCGCTCTGTCAGTCGCCAGTAGTCGACGAAAGGTTCCTTAGAACCATTCTCCCTCCTAACATGGATCTAATAAATCTAATTACGAAAGACAGTTGGTACTTCGAAACATGCAAATCAGCGCATCGGGAGTCTATCGCATTACGCCAAAGGATGTAGCGAAAATGTGTCCACTTTTCGTTCCTGCTTTCCTTAACTGCCTGCTCGCTTCCTCTTCCTTTCCTTGATATATGAAAGCTGTCAGAATCTCATTAGTGCCCAAGATCTTAAAACAGACCTCTCCCCATCCAGTGAGCAAACAAGTGAGGGAAAGTGTTACTGCCAAAGTTGACTAGCCAACCGACTGCATTAGTCAGGTCGCAACCATTACGAAGATGCGCGAACTGCGCGTATTTATTGACCCGAAAACTTCGAGGCCATGCGTAGAGCATTATGCGCTACCTACTCTCGAGTTGCCTACCGAAATGCAAGAAGGTCTGGGCAGCGACCGTGAAGAATTATTAAGTAGATTCATGGTTATTTATAAAGTACATACAATATTTCGACGTCCGTTCATTGGTCGACCCTCGTTAACCGTCCTATAACTTCATTTGTTTTGTGCCCGTCCTGCATACGAGCAGGGGTCATGGTTACACAGGAACGGGTTCGTACCCCATGAACAGTTCTCATGACTAGCGTCTGATTGGTCACTCGTCTATTCATCTGATGCTTCCACGGTTGACCATGTGCCCCAGCTACGTGCGTTGCTACAATGGTCGCAGGTGTATGCCACCCATCCGTCGTACGACCCACCAATCCGATTTGCAGTTTTTTCTACTGCGCTAGACCGAACTGGTCGTGCGTGCTCGACTTTCGTCTGATTGGCTCCCAGACCAAGGTAACTGCGTCGATTCCATCCGCCCCCAGTCTTCGCTACCATTCTGCCGCGTCTAGCCAAGGTCAAGCATTTCACGAAGGTAAACATGTCTTCCGCACTCTAGGGCGTGGTTCTAGATGCTGAATCCAGTTTCCTTGCTACCTTTGCCACACCGTTCGGGTGTTATCGTTGGTTGCGTTTACCATTTGGTTTAAAGGTTTCGAGTGAAATATTTCAAAAACGATTGGTGCAAGTGGTAGACGATTTAGATGGTGTAACATGTGTGGCAGATGCTTTGACCAACGGCTGGACGGAAGAAGAGCATGACACTCATCTCCACCGGGTCTTGAAGCGTTGTGTGCAAAATAAACATCAAGATTACACGTGAAAAAATTGTGGTTCGGAAAGACGAGTTGAATTTCCATGAAGATGTGCTAACAACCGAAGGAATCAGGGTCGATCCAGGGAAAAGGAAGGCAAT